ACAAAAACCGCTGCCAAGTTGTATATTTTTTTGTATAATTTTGGTGCTCATTTCATGAACACTTTACTTCCTCATAGAGATAAAAATAATATAAATATACAAATAACTTTTTATAAATATGGTAAAAGTGATTGAATTTTGGGTCAATCAATTTATTTTTAAATACCCTACAAGATAGTTACAATAATTTAATAGTTAAACAAAAATTTTCAAACAAAAAAGTTGAGAAAATGTCATTTTTCACAATTTTTGGATTTTAAAATACCAATAATTTAGAAATTTATTATCGAATTAGGTTCAAAAATAGGTCAATCGAAGCGTTTTTTGAAGCTCTACAAGTCGGTAACGATAATTTTAAGATTACTTCTACATTTTTCAACAAAATTTTCAAAAAAGTCTTATTTTCCAAAATTTTGAATTTTTAAAAGTTTAATATCTCTGGTTAATAAGGACGAAAAATTTTCAATTAGGGCTCAAAAGATGCGTCTAAAAAAACTCTACAAAATTATGAAAAAACATTTATAGGTGTCCTAACATTTTTTTAAAGTTATGAGCAAAAAACGTTTTTTTGGAAAATTAAAAATAAAAAAAAAATTTAGTTAAACTTTATTAATATATCAGAAAGTACTCTCGCTTTATGTCCGCAGGTGAGATCTACAATTTAAAAAAAAATCCAGCCCAAAAGCTCTTCATGATTTCGAGATATTTATGAAAATGTGATGTTTACACACACACACACACACACACATACGGAATGACATTTTATAAAAATGTCATTTTTGAACTCCTGAGGTCAAATAACATAAAGATATGTCAAAAAATCGAACTCAAAAAATTTCGGTATTACAATACTTCCTCTATGAGGAAGTAATAATATAACAAAAACAAGAAAAATAACAAAAAATATAACGAAAAAAGAATAACAAAAATAATAACACAAACAACAATAGTGATAACAAGAGTAGCAAAAATAACATGAGAAACAACAGTAAACACTATATCAACTACAACAATAATAGTAAGAAAAGCAATACAAAAACAACAAGAATAACAAAAGCAACAACAATAATAATAACGAGAGTAGCAAAAATAATACTGAAAACAACAATAAACACGATGTCAATTACAACAATAATAACGAGAAAAAGAATAGTAACAAAAACAAGAATAACAAAAACAATAATAACAAGAGTAGCAAACATACTATTTAAAGCTACAATAAACGCGATAACAACTACAACAATAATTCTGAGAAAAAAATAAGTACAAAAACAATACTAATAAAAACAAAAATAAGGAAAACAAAAATAACAAAAAATAATAATTATAACAAAGACAGTAACATCAATAAATAAAATAATAACAGTACTAATAAGAAAATAACAAAAATAATAACAACAGTACTTATAAAAAAGCAATAACAAAAATAGGACTAATAACTTTGTAAACAAGAACAACAACAAATTATTATATTAAAAAATTATAATCACTTACCTTTCCTTAGAAATCTTAAAAAAAAATTTTCCTGCTGTAGGTAATAATTTCTAAAATATTATTTTGCCTTGCTGTACGTTAAAAAATTAAAAAACTTGTTTTTTTTCTCGCAGTAATTGTAAATTAAAAAAAAATATTTTGTTTTGCTGTACTTTGGAAATTAAAGAACACAATTTTTTACCCAGCTGTACGTTATAATTATAAAAAATTATTTTTTCTTACTGTACGTTATAAAATTGAAAAAAAGAATTATTTCACCTTGCTGTAAGTTAAAAATTTAAAAAATTATTATTTCGTCTTGCTGCACTCTGTAATATTAACATTAGAATTTTTTTTTTGTCCTTCTGTACATTACAAAAAAAATTATTTGGCATTACTGTACATTTCGAAAAAAAATTATTTAGCCTTACTATACGTTTTTAAATTTAAAAAAAATTATTTTACCTCATACGTTAAAAAATCAAGAAAAGAAATTATAAATTATAAATCATAAGTTATAAATATAAATCAAAACATTTTTTAAGATTTTGAATTTAATATTATTTCAAAAAATTTTTGTTACATATTGTACACATTTTTTTTCATTGTGGGCTAATATATATATATGTATAATTTTTTTAATACGATTATTATTAATTATTTTTTATCAATTTTTTTTTCTTGTTGAGAAAATAAAAAGTGCAAAAGAAAATTATTTTTTTTTGTCGAGAATAAGCGACGCGTAATACATGGATTTGTTTATTAAAATACCAACTATAAATTTTTTTTCTAATATAAATTTTTTTTTTTTTTGTTAAAAGTTGTATTTATTTATTTTATTTTTTTTTAAATAGTGAATCGGTGATTAAATTGGGAAAAATTTTTTTTTCTAACGCAGTCCGCTTTTTTATTTTCTTTTTTTTTATCTATTTTTTTAATTTCTAGGGACAGTGCACATAGTGTAAGAAAAATACAAAGTGTATATACGATCGCATTTCAAGGGCTTATTTTCTAAACGCTTATTGTGTTATCTTGCTATTATTTTCATTATTTATTTTCCGTATTTTTTCCGCAAAAATTTACTGCAAAATTTTCTGCAATTTTTTTTTGCAATTTTTTTTTTTGCATTTTTCTGCATTTTTTCTGTATTTTTTAATTAATTAATTAATCAATTAATTACGTGATTAATTTAAATATAAAAATTAAGTATTTAATTAATAACTCGAAAGTTAATTAATTAAGGGCATTTGAACCTTGATGACGTTACAGATTGTGCAAAGCATGTGTGACGTCATCAAGGTTCAAATGCCCTTAATTAAGAAAAAAAGTTAATTAATTAACTAAAAACTTGAAAGTTAATTGATTGTTTAATTGAAAAAGTCGAAAGTTAATTAATTTATTAATTAATTAACTAAAAATTCGAAAGTTAATTAATTATTTAATTAAAAAACTCGAAAGTTAATTAATTAATTAATTAAAAACTCGAAAGTTAATTAATAAATTAATTAAAAATTTTAAAGTTAATTAATCAATTATTTAATTAAAAAATCGAAAAATCATCAATTTATTAATTACAAAATCTAAAATAATTAATTAAAAACTCGACAATTAATTAATTAACTAATTAATCGAAAAAAAGCTACAATTTATTACAAAATCTAAAAATTAATTAATTAATTAATTAATTAATCAAAAAATCTACAATTAATTAGAAAATCTAAAATAATTCATTAAAAAATCGAGAACTAATTAATTAACGCGCATCGAATTATAATTACAATTGTTTTTCTTTTTCACTCTTCGTCAATATAACGATCGTTTAATAATAACTTTCATCACGATTATAAATTGATTTTTTCTTTTTCTATTTTTTTTTCTCTCTACTTTTATTTTTTTGCTACTTTTTTGTTTTCTTCGCAACATTATTGATAATGTTTTTTTTTCTCACCGTCAATTAAAAAAAAAAATCCGACGAAAAAAAATTGTGTCTGTACAAAAGAACTTCGATTTACATCCAATCAAAAAAAAAATGAAACACAAATAACTCATACATTCCGACGATTAAATTATTTAAAAAATAAAAAATCATCATCATCCAATTTTAATCAACAAAATTTCTATTTTTATTGTATAAACAAAAATATTTTTTCATTCGTAAGTAAAAAAATTTTTTTTTTCTTTATAAACAATTTTTTTTTATTCGTATAAAAAGAACAATTTTTCTATTTTTTATAAACAAAAACATTTTTTTTTCTTTGTAAATAATTTTTTATTTATATTAAAAAAAAAGAATTTTTATAAACGAAAATTTTTGTATTCAGAAAAAAGTTTTTAAAATTGTAAAAAAAATTTTAATTTATAAAAAAAATTATTTGAGGTATAAACAAAATTTTTATTTATAGAAAAAATTATTATTGTAATAAACATAATTTTATTTTTATAGAAAAAATTATTTTAGTACGAAAAAAATTTTATTTATAAAAAAATTTTTATTTATAAAAAAAAATTTTATTTATAAAATAGATTTTATTTATAAAAAAAATGTTTATAACAAAAATTTTTAATCTAAAAAGCAAAACGATAGATAACGAAAAATATTGAATAAAAAAATAATTGAATTCGAAAAAAGTTATTTTTTCTTCTATAAATTTTTACAAGAGTTTAAAAAAAAAAGTTTCTACTAATTATTTTTTATATATATTTAAATATTACAATTTTTTATTTTTTAAAGGGAAACTAGTTTTTTTTTTATTTATCTATTTATTTTAGATTTAAAAATTCTTTTAAAAATCTTTCAAACTAGATTTCTCGAACACTCGGGTTTTTTTTTTAAATTAGACAAACAAATTTTTTTTTTATCGAGTTCGTACGATTTTAAAAAAAAAAGATTAAAAGAATTATTTCTAGGAGGGGTGGCGGCGGTGATTAGGGGGGTGGGGGTGGATTTTTTTATCGATTTTTAAATAGGATTATTTTTTAGCTTTTCTAAAAATAGATATAAGAATTATTTAAAAACAACTAACGATTTCACGTAATTCTTAATTTTTTTCTCCCCAAAGGGCAAAAAAAAAATGAAGAATTGTGTTATTTTATTTTAATTTTTAAGCGACTTGATACTATTCTGGAAAAAATATTACAAAAAAAATATTTTTTTATCATTATTACAAACACGATTAAAGAATATACAATAGTAATGACCAGAAAATGGTCATTTTTTTTTCTTTCAACTATTTAAAAAAAACAACGACGACGACGACGACGTTAAAAATTTTTTTTGATAGAGGAGAAAAAAAATTCTCGCTATCTTTATCAAAAAAAAAAAGGAAAAAAATTAACGTCTTTTTTTTAACTGTACAAATAACGTGATTCAATCAAATTCTCTCTCTCTCTCTCGCTCTCTTTCTTTCTTTTTTTCTTTCTCTCTTTTTTTCTTTCTCTATTTTTTTTCTTTCTCATTTTTTTTTCTCCCTAAAAAAATCTAGAAAGAAAAAATCTAAAAAGAAAAAAACTCTTTCTAAATTTTTCCTTTCTAGATTTTTTTACATTTCGATCTAAAAAATTTTTTTCGCTACCTTCGCAAAAATTCCTTCACATTTTTTTTTCTTGAATCATTTGGAACACGTACTATCAGTCAGACATTATAAATATAGTGTGTGACACATTATTAATAATTATATTTAGTATTTAAAGCGAATCGATTCGCTTTTCGACATTTTTTTTTTAGCTTTCAATATAACAAAATTTCCTACTATCATTATATAATCATTATCATCATCATCATATAATTATCATTATCGAAGGGAAAAAGTACAATTTTTTCGCTTTGGAAAGGATGGAAAAAATCCGTTCATTCGGTTTTTTTAGGGGGGGGGGGGATTAAAAATAAAAGGGGAAAAAATGTGATTTTAGGGAGGGAGAAAAAATAGTGAGGGGAGGGGAGAGGAATAAAAATTAAATATGATGATATTTAAACATGGTTTTTGTTTTTTTTTTGTTTGTTTGTTTGTTTGTTTGAAGAAAAATGGAATTCAACCCAAACCGGCCCATTGGACGAAATCGGGTATTTCTCTTACTGGCACGTCTCTCGCTAATGCTTTCACCCTTAAATTTCTGTCTTCGGTTAAAAGAACAACGTCCCTTCTTAGTCTTCTTGGTTGGCCTTCTACTGAAAAAAAAAATCCAGTCGCAAAAATTTAATGGTTAATTAATTTTAAATTAATTAAATAATTTTTAAAAGTAAATAAATAAATAAAATACATTAAAATATTAAATTTATTTCAAAGAAATTTGACAAAATTTTCAACAATTTCAATTTTTTAAAATTATTTTTTAAATATATTTTTTTTTAAATTCAATTCGAAAATTTCAATTAGAATTCTTCGAAATTCAATTATTTTCAAAATTTCTAATTAGAATTCTTCAAAATTCAATTATTTTCAAAATTTCTAATTAGAATTCTCCAAAAATTCAATTATTTTTAAAATTTAGAATTAGAATTCTTCAAAAATTCAATTATATTTCAAATGTTTCAATTACAATTCTTCAAAAATCCAATTATATTTCAATTGTTTCAATTTTTAAAAATTATTTTCGAATATACAATTATTTTTAAATATTTTTTTTTAATTCAAATATTTTTCCAAATTCTTCAAAAATTCAATTATTTTCAAAATTTCTAATTAGAATTCTTCAAAAATTCAATTATATTTTAAATATTTTAATTTTTAAAAATAAGCAAATGAAATTCATCAAAGTATAAAATTTATTTCAATGAAACTTGACAAAATTTTCAATTTTTTCAATTTTTTGAAATTATTTTCGAAAAAACAATTATTTTTAAATATTTTTTTTTAATTCAAATATTTTCCAAATTTTTGAATAGAATTCTTCGAATTTCAAATATTTTCAAAATTTCCATTTAGAATTCTTCAAAAATTCAATTACTTTCCAAGTTTTCAATTAGAATTCTTCAAAAATTCCATTATATTTCAAAATTTTTAGTTTTTAAAAAAAGCAAAAATATTCATTAGAATATATAAAAATTTATTTCCATGAATTTTGACAAATTTTTCAATTGATACAATTTTTAAAATTATTTTCGAAAATACAACTATTTTTAAATAATTTTTGTTTAAATTCAAATATTTTTAAAAATTTCAATTAGAATTTTTCAAATTTCATTTATTTTCAAAATTTTCAATTAAATTTAACAAAATTTTAAATTATTCAATTTTTTAAAATTATTTTCGAAAATACAATTATTTTTAAATATTTTTTTTTAAATTTAATTATTTTCAAAATTTTCAATTTTTAAAAATAAGCAAATGAAATTCATTGGAATATAAAATTGATTTCTGTAAAATTTGCCAAAATTTTCAATTATTTCAATTTTTTAAAATTATTTTCGTAAATACAATTATTTTTAAATATTTTTTTTTTAAATTCAATTATTTTCAAAATTTTCAATTAGAATTCTTGAAAAATTCAATTATATTTCAAAATTTTCAATTTTTAAAAATAACCAAATGAAATTCATTGGAATATAAAATTTATCTCTGTAAAATTTGCCAAAATTTTCATTTATTTCAATTTTTTAAAATTATTTTCGAAAATACAATTATTTTTAAATATTTTTTTTTTAAATTCAATTATTTTCAAAAATTTCAAATTAGATTTTTTCGAAATTCAATTATTTTTAAAATTTCCAATTAGAATTCTTCAAAAATTCAATTATTTTTTAAGTTTTCAATTAGAATTCTTCAAAAATTCAATTTTATTTCAAAAATTCAAAAATATTTTAATATTTTCAATTTTTTGAAAATAAGCAAATTGAAATTCATCGGAATATAAAATTTTTTTTCAATTAAATTTGACAAAATTTTTAATTGATTTCAATTTTTTAAAATTCTTTTTGCTTATTTTTATTAAAGAAGAGCTTTTTTTCGTGACACAGAGGTACTCCGAACTATTTTCGAATTTATTTCCGATGCAGAAAAAATTTGTATTCTGAAAAACGAAGCAGATTTTGACAATTTTTTTTTAACAATAATTTTTGGGGTCGAATAAAAAATTTGGTCTTTTTTTTATCAAATTGGAGTCTTTTTAATATAAAGATAAGAGCTTTTTCCGAAATACTGAGGTACTCAGAACATTTTTAGAATTTATTTTCTATTCAGAAAAAATTTGTCTCTTGAAAAAATTCGCTGATCTTGACAATTTTTTTTAAAACAATTTTTGGAGTCGAATATTAAATTTGGGCTTTTTTTTATCAATTTGGAGCTTTTTTTTATTAAAGAAGAGCTTTTTCCGAAAAATGAATTTACTCAAAACTTTTTTAGAATTTATTTCCGATTCAAAAATTGAAAAATTTTTAATAAAAAATTCTTTACAGAAAAGCGAAGAAGAACTTCGACTTAATTTCAAATTTTACTATAAAAGTACAGTAAAAATAACAATAATCTCTTTTCCTTCTGTTGCTAAAAATAAAATTACGAAAATAATACCAAAAACCACAAATTATTGTAACTTACCCGAGGGAATTTGATCCTTAGAATTCGTTCTACAGAGACTCAGACACGTTGCCAGAATTCGATCATCATTTCTAGTTAAACCATCCTGTAACAAAAAAAAAAAAAATAAAGTTTTGTCTTTCGTCAAAAAAATTTTCTGATTAGAAAACTCCACTTCTTTTTTCTTCTCTTTTCACCCCCAGGCGAGAGGTTGGTTAGTTAGTTATATTCCCCGCCCCCCCCCATCAATTTTTTTTCTTAAACCCTCGTTTTTAGAACAGAGGGGGAAAAAAGAAAGAAATGAAAAGAAAAGGTATTAGTCTATCTATACGCACATAAAGCTTGTTAAGAGTAACAACTGTGTTGTTGAAATAAATACGCCTACAGTTTATTGGCATCGATATCGACAGGATATAATCACTGTATGGGCGAAGGGAATAAATTCGAGTGAGACTCTCTTTTCTCTCTCCTTCTCTCTTTTTCCCCCTTTTTTGTCTCTTTTACTCTCTTTCTCTATTTTTCTCTCTTTCCCCCCCTTTTTTGTCTCTCTTTCTCTATTTTTCTCACTTTTCCTCCCTTTTTTGTCTCTTTTTCTCTCTTTTTCTATTTTTCTCTCTTTTCCCCCCATTTTTCTCTCTTTCTCTATTTTTGTCTCTTTTTCTCTCTTTTCCCCCCTTTTTTCTCTTTTTCTCTCTTTTCCTCCCTTTTTCTGTCTCTTTTTCTATTTTTTCTCCCTTTCTTTATTTTTCTCGCTCTTTTTAACTCTTTCTCTATTTTTCTCTCTTTTTCCCCCCCTTTTTTGTCACTTTCTATATCTTTCTCTATTTTTCTTGCACTTTTTCTTACTCTTTCTCTTTCTTTTCTCCCTTTTTCTCTCTTTCCCCGTCTTTTTCGTCTCTTTCTCTTTTTTTTCTCTCTTTCACTACTTTTCTCTTTCTATTTCATTTTTCTGAGAAATAGAAAAAGAAAGAGTGAGAGAAAAAAATAAAGAAAGATAGAGAAAGTGACAAAAAAGGGGGGACAGAGAGAGAAGAATAGAGAAAGAGTGAAAAAAGAGAGAAAAAGAGTAAGAAAAGAGCGTAAAAAATAGAGAAAGAGAGAAAAAGAGACAAAAAAGGAGGGGAAGAAAGAAAAATAGAGAAAGAGAGAAGAAGAGACAAAAAAGGGGGAAAAGAGAGAAAAATAGAGAAAAAAAGAGAAAAATGGAGAAAGAGAGAGAAAAAGAGACAAAAAAGGGGGGGAAAGTGAGAAAAATAGAGAAAGAGAGACAAAAAAAGGGGGGGGAAGAGAGAAAAATAGAGAAAGAGAGAAAAAGAGACAAAAAAAGGGGGGGGGGGAAGAAATAAAAATAGAGAAAGAGAAAAAAAAGAAACAAAAAGGGGGGGAAAGAAAAATAGAGAAAGAGAAAGAAAAAGAGAAAAAAAAAGGGGGAAAAGAGAGAAAAATAGAGAAAGAGAGAGAAAAAAAGACAAAAAAGGGGGAAAAGAGAGAAAAATAGAGAAAGAGAGAGAAAAAAGACAAAAAAAGGGGGGGAAGAAATAAAAATAGAGAAAGAGAGAAAAAGAAAACAAAAAAAAGGGGGGGGGGAAGAAAAATAGAGAAAGAGAAAGAAAAAGAGAAAAAAGGGGAGAAAAGAGAGAAAAATAGAGAAAGAGAGAGAATAAAAAAGACAAAAAAGGGGGGGAGAAATAAAAATAGAGAAAGAGAGAAGAAGAGACAAAAAAAAAGGGGGGGGAAGAAATAAAAATAGAGAAAGAGAGAAGAAGAAACAAAAAAGGGGGAAAAGAGAGAAAAATAGAGAAAGAGAGAGAAAAAGAGACAAAGAAGGGGGAAACGAGAGAAAAATATAGAAAGAGAGAAAAAGAGACAAAAAAGGGGGAAAAGAGAGAAAAAGAGAAAAAAAGGGGAGAAAAGAGAGAAAAATAGAGAAAAGAGAAAAAGAGACCAAAAAAAGGGGGGGAAGAAAGAAAAATATAGAAAGAGAGAAGAAGAGACAAAAAAGGGGGAAAAGAGAGAAAAATAGAGAAAGAGAGAGAAAAAGAGAAAAAAAGGGGGAAAAGAGAGAAAAATAGAGAAAGAGAGAGAAAAAGAGAAAAAAAGGGGGAAAAGAGAGAAAAATAGAGAAAGAGAGAGAAAAAGAGACAAAAAAGGGGGAAAAAAAGAAAAATAGAGAAAGGGAGAAAAAGTGACCAAAAAAAAGGGGGGGGGGGAGAAAGAAAAATAGAGAAAGAGAGAAGAAGAGACAAAAAAGGGGGAAAAGAGAGAAAAATAGAGAAAAGAGAAAAAAGAAGAAAATGAAAAAGAGAGAGAGAAAAATAAAGAAAGAGGGGAAAAAAGAAGAAGAAAATGTAAAAGAGAGAGAAGAATAAAGAAAGAGGGAAAAAAAAAGAGACAGAGAAGAATGGAGAAAGCGAGAAAAATAAAGAAACTGAGTGAAAGAAACAGAGAAAATGAGAAAGAGGGAAGAAAAGAAGGAGAAAGAAAGAAAAAGGAGAAGACAAAGAAAGTGATACTTAATTTAATTTGTTGAAATAAATGTTAATTATTTTCTATTGATGTATCTCTCACCTGAGTAACGTCCTCCTCGACAGTGAAAGTGCTCGATGACAAAACTGTTCCTCGCGTCGTTAAACATCGAATCGCCGGATTTCGACTCCTGGCAAATGCGAGTGCAGCTTTTGCATTTTCAGCAACTCTCGCCACGTGCTCTGGATTTAATGCCGCTCGTGACGATGGCTGCGAGTCCCTTGTTCCTGCTCCTCTCGTCAGACCTTCCAATTCATTCAACACTGGAACAAGGAAATAAAAAGAATTCTATGTGAATATTATTTTTTTTTTTCTCTTAATAGCACACTTGATATTTTTTGATTTTCATTTTTAAGGGTTTTTGTCTGGTCAAGGGACGAAACTGTCCCTAACGGCCCCCCCCCAATAGGGGCCGTTACATAATTTTATCAACTTTTCAAATAATTCAATTCTTTCGACGAATTTTAATCAAATTTTTGAAAAATAATTACATTTTTCGAGGAATTCGATTAAAATTTTATTAAAAATAATTGAAATTCTGCAATGAGTTTCATTATTTATGAAAATAATTGAATTATTGCCAAGAATTTAATGGAATAAAATTATTTTTTTTTAAATAACTGAATTCCTGTAAAGAATTAAATAACGTTTTATAATTGAATTTTATAATTGAATGCCTGTAAAGAATTCAATTACTTTTGGTAAATAGTGGAGTTCCTATAAAGAATTCAATTACTTTTCGTAAATAATTGAATTCCTGTAAAGAATTCAATTACTTTTGGTAAATAATTTAATTCAAACGAAGAATTTTATGAAAAGTTTTTAAATAATTGAATTTCTGCGAAGAATTTTATATGTTTTTTTTAAATATAATTGAATTTTAATCATTTTTGGAAATAATTTAATTCCTGTGAAGAATTTTATTATTTTTTCAAAATAATTGAATACCTTTGGAAAATAATTTAATTTCTGTGAAGAAGTTTATTATTTTTAGAAAATAATTGAATTCCTGTGAAGATTTTATTAATTTTTAAAAATAATTGAATTTCTGAGAAGAATTTTAATAAATTTTCAAAATAATTGAATTTCTGCAAAGAATTTTATGTTTTTTTAAATATAATTGAATTGGAAATAATTTAATTCCTGTGAAGAATTTTACTATTCACTATAGAGATAATTGAAATGTTGGCAAATTTTCTTAGATTTTTTGAAAATAATTGAATTTTTACGAAGAATTTTATTAATTTTGAAAATAATTGAATTCTTGTGATGAATATAGTTATTTAAGAAAATAATTAAATTTTATAATAAATTTTATAAAAATTTCTGAAAATAATTGAATGTTGGCGAAGAATTTTATTTTTTTTTAAATAATTGAATTTTTGCAAAGGATTTTAGTCAATTTTGAAAATAATTGAATTCTTGTGAAGACGTTTATTAATTTTTAAAAATAATTAAATTCTTGTAAAGACTTTATTAATTTTTAAAAATAATTGAATTCATTTGACAAATTTTATTAAATCCTTTGAAAATAATTGAATTCTTATCATGAATATAGTTATTTAAAAAAATAATTGAATTTTGCAATGAAATTTATTAAAACTCCTGAAAATAATTGAATTTTGTCGAAGAATTTTGCTATTCACTATAAATATAATTGAAATGTTGACAAATTTTTTTAGATTTTTCGAAAATAATTGAATTTTTAGGAAGAATTTTATCCATTTTGAAAATAATTGAATTCTTGTGATGAATATTGTTATATTTATGAAATTAATTAAATTTTACAATGAATTTTATAAAAATTCCTGAAAATAATTGAATTTCGGCGAAGAATTTTGCTTTTTATAAAAATAATTAAAATGAAAACGAGAATTTTCTCTCTCTGCCCCGTAGTTTTTTTTTCCTGCATTTAAAAATAAAATCAACGACGTGGAAAAAGAAAATTCATTCAATCTGATTTGCTTACTGGTTGGAAAATATTTTCCAATGGGTTTGCGATTCGCCAAGATGTTTTTTTGCCACTGTATCTCTTTGCGACTATTTTTCGACGATGCGATTCCGGAATCGATCAATTGAATTTCGAGGGAGAGAGGGAAATAGTCTCGTCTCCCAAACCCCTCTTAGCACGCGCCAAGGGCCACGATTTATTATGGAAGTTGTGTAATGCTTGTCTGCAGTCCTTGAAAATAGCTTTTCCTAAATCAAGATTATTTTTCATCTCAAGCATTCCCCCCCCCCTCCCTACCTCCCGCCAATAGGAAAAGTGCGCAGATTAACAAACAGTAAAAGTAATAACAATTATTATTTTTACTATTATTATTATTCTTATTATTATTATTTTTAATATTACAATTATTATTTCATAAAACCTAATTAATACAAATTATTGACCATTATTGACCATTATTCACTATTTTTTCCTATTATTGCCCAATATTGACAATTATTGCCCATTATTCACTATTTTTTCTAGTATTGCCCAATATTGACCATTATTGATCATTATTCACTATTTTTTCCTAGTATTGCCCAATATTGCCCATTATTCACTATTTTTTCCTAGAATTGTCCAATATTGACCATTATTGCCCATTATTATCTATTATTGACCATTATTCACTATTTTTTTCTAGTATTGCCCAATATTGACCATTATTGTATATATTATTGACCCTTATTGCCCATTATTGTCCATTATTGCTCTAGGGTAATAATGTGTACATTACTGACCATTCACTGGCCAATAAGTTTCTATTTTTACTCTTTTAGTTTTTTATTTTTTAGTTATTTTAATTTTCTATTTTTTCTTTTAATTATTTTAGTTATCACTCTTTTTTTCTAGTTCATTTTTGAAACTTTAATTCCCCAAAAAATCAATTTTTCTCGTTTTTCAATATTTCTAAATCATTTTCTTCCTTTTTTTCTCTCTCCCTATTCTCTCTCTTTTTCTCCTTCTCTCTTAGATAAGATTACACCAAGCAGGGTCAGATTCTCAAAGCGAAATCAAAAGCCAATCGACCAATAAATCAAGTAACTGACCAATGAAAAGAATTCTACGAATTCCAAGATCGGAAAGATTTGTTGTTGACTTCAAAAAAAGAACTGAAAAGAAAAATTGAAAAAAAAATGAGGAAAAAAAGAAGAAAAAATTGAGAAGCCAAAGCACGAAGTGTGCGAAATGTATTTTCTTCTTTTCCGAAAATCTTAAATCTTATCTTATCAATCTCAAGATGATCTGTGAAGTACAAAAGTAAAAAGGATTAATTTTAAAGAAAACGTTATAAAAGAAAAGAAAATTGTTCTGCGAAAGCGAATATAGAGAAAATCTAACAGAAAAAACAAAAAAAATAAAATAAAAAACAACAATAAAAATACTGAAAACATGAAGAAACAAAAAAAGACAAAACCAAAAATCAACAAAAAAAGAAAAATGAAAAAATAATAATAACAAAAAGGAAAGAATCGAAAGAAACAAAAAAAATCAAAAAGAAAGAAACCAAAAAAGAACAAAACGTAAAAAATTCAAGATGAAAACCCAAGGAAACAACAAAAACAAAACCAACAAAAAAACAAAGAACCGAGGAATAAAAAAACAATTTTTTTTAAAAACAAAAAAAAACAAAAAAGACAAAAGAAAATAACAAAAAAACAAAAATTCCAAGAAGCGAAGAAAAACAAAACCAAAAAAACTGTTGTTTTTTGGTTAGAACAAAATAACAAATGAAACAAACAACAATACAAAAAAAATAAATAAATAAGAATATAAGACAACAAAAAAACAAAAACCGAAGAATAGAAAAAAAAATTTTAATTAACAAAAAATCCATGAAAACAAGAAAAAACAATCAAAAAAAGACTAAAGAAAATAACAATAACATTAAAATTCCAAGAAAATAAGAAAAACAAAACCAACAAAAAAACAAAAATCCGATAAATGAAGAAATAATTTTTTTTGAAATCAACAAAAATCAAAAAAAACAAAAAGGACGAAAGAAAATAACAAAAAAAACAAAAATTCCAAGAAGAAAAGAAAAACAAAACCAAAAACCAATAAAAAAACAAAAATCTGACGAATTAAGAAATAATTTTTTTTAAACTAATAAAGAAACCAATAAAAAAGAACAAAAAAAACGAAAAAAAATAAAAAAAACAAAAATTCTAAAAAGCGAAAAAAAGCAAATCCGACGAATGAAGAAACAACTTTTTTAAAAACAACAAAAAAAATAAAAAAGACGAAAGAAAATAACAAAAAAAAACAAAAATTCCAAGAAGAAAAGAAAAACAAAACCAATAAAAAAAAACTGACGAATTAAGAAATAATTTTTTTTAAAATAACAAAGAAACCAATAAAAAAGAACAAAAAATAACAAAAAAAAATTCTAAAAAGCAAAAAAAAACTAACAAAAAAATGAAGAAACAACTTTTTTACAAACAACAAAAAAATAAAAAAGACGAAAGAAAATAACAAAAAACAAAAATTCCAAGAAGCGAAGAAAAACAAAACCAAAAAAACTGTTGTTTTTTGGTTAGAACAAAATAACAAATGAAACAAACAACAATACAAAAAAAATAAATAAATAAAAATATAAGACAATAAAAAAACAAAAACCGAAGAATAGAAAAAAAAAATTTTAATTAACAAAAAATCCATGAAAACAAGAAAAAACAATCAAAAAAAGACTAAAGAAAATAACAATAACATTAAAATTCCAAGAAAATAAGAAAAACAAAACCAACAAAAAAACAAAAATCCGATGAATGAAGAAATAATTTTTTTTAAAACAACAAAAAAAACCAAAAGGACGAAAAAAAAATTCTAAAAAGCAAAAAAAAACTAACAAAAAAACAAAAATCCGACGAATGAAGAAACAACTTTTTTGAAAACAACAAAAAAAATAAAAAAGACGAAAGAAAATAACAAAAAACAAAAATTCTAAGAAGAGAAGAAAAACAAAACCAATAAAAAAACAAAAAACCAAAAATCCGATAAATTAAGAGACAGTTTTTTTAAAAAACAACAAAAAAACCATAAAGCCAAAAAAAACACTAAAAAATAAACAAAATGGACGAAAAAAAATAACAAAAAAAAACGAAAATCCCAAGAAACGAAGAAAAACAAAACCAAAAAACTATTTTTTTTGTTTGGAACAAAATAACTAACGGAACAAACTGAATGGCAAAAAAATGAATAAAACTATTATTATATTAATAATATTAATATTTTTTAGACAATAAAAAAAAACAAAAAACAAGGAATGAA